TCCAACATGTCCATTTTATTCCTTGCTTCCCATCAGATCTGCAGGTCTTAATAATCCAGTTGGCCTCCGGAATAAAAGAAAGGGTAAGAGTAAGCAGCCTTGTCTGACTTCGGTCCTCACTTGCAATCCATCTGCTTGCTATCCTCCACGCACAACTTTGCAGTATATCCCGTCATATTAATTCCGGATGATGTTGACGATCTTCTCAGGTATACCATAGTGCCGGAGAAAGTTCCATGAGGTTTTCTTATCCAAATCTTCATGTTCTCTCTCTAAATCTAGGAAGCTGAGATGTGGTGACACACTTCACTCAAGTGATTCCTCAAAAATGATTCGTAATATCGCGATTTATTCTGTGCACGATCGACCCCTACGGAATACGGTCAGCTGAATGCAAAGCTGGGCGTCTATCAGATCTTTCATCCGGTTTAACAACACTCTACTGAAAAGTTTTCCTGGCACTGATAGTGGTGTGATATCTTTGTAGTTCTCACTCAACGTTCTATCGATAGAAGAAACCAGACTAGTAATTGATAGGTCTGTAATTAGATTGTGGAACAGAACAGTTGAAGCCCGGAGTTATTTTTCTGAATGGCCTTTCAACATGCATTATAAAATAATGGAAAATATGATGCTTGTTCAAAATAATGAATCTATCAAATATTTGAGCTATAAAGTCTAGACATTACTAAGATGTTTGAGGCCAACTCCGAATCAAACGGCTCAAGTTGTTACATCAGCTTACTCCTATAATCGACTTCGTTAGGAGTGTCAGTTTGACCAACTTATCGATCAATAACATATCATTTTGGTTTCTTCAGCATAGAGGAGAATTACTAACTCGTTTAGTGTTTGACTTTCAATCAATGATCCCAACGCCCGGTCAGAAATCGGAGTTACTGCATGGATATCACATACCTTATTAGCTTTTTGTCATATATCGTAGCATTCACCTTCTACTATTTGTCGCTCATGACTTAATGAACATTTCCTTTGTGTGAGGATCCGGGATTGTAAGAGAATGAGAGGTAAGCAAATGAAACAAGAATACCTAAGGGAGGCCGCTAGAGGGTCACTCAAAGCCATGTTGGGGAGGTACGATTTTCCCATGATATGTTCGACTATGAAGTGTCTACTCATCTGCCTTTTCAGTTACCTTTAGTGAGAATCGAAGATCTGGATAAAACAGTCACCGTTCCCAATAGTCCCAGTGTTATGAGGAATGAAAAATAGACTACGGTACGTAGGAAACGAAACGAAAAGAAAAAAGCTGTGAGCAGTACATAGGTAGTTAGTAATTCACTGGTGGACTCAAATTGTGAGCCACAAATTGCACTACCAAAATCTGATGGTAAGATTGAAACCCATCCTGGTGTGACTGAGAAGAAAAATCTAATAAAAATATTATTATGAGCAAATTGCGGGAGTCAAACGTCCATGATCCAAAAATTAGACACGCGCATGACTTAGAAAAGCCAGGAGAATACATTCGTAGTATTTTACCAGATAACTCCAAAGGAGTTCAGGTCAAAAAATTGGTAAGAATAGGCCAAAGGACCGAGGACAATGTTGAACCCGACCATGTAGACTCCTTAAGGTAATCCTAGGATCGAAGAAGCAACGGGATCTTTTGTTAAGTAGCGCTCGTTGTCACGACAATTCTGACATCCGAGTTAGACCTGACATGTCTCTCGAAGACAAAATAAAAAGGAAAAAAAAGCACTATCTGAACTTGAAACCCGTCGGCAAAACGGCGAGGAAGATCTCCGGCTAGTGGGTTTTCGGATAGTCAGGTCTTGGAAGCGAATGCTACCAAATCCTGTGTGGATAGGCTGTTCTACTTAGGAGTTTTATGTGCCAACGCTCGCAGTCTACGAAATAATTTCTATGAACTAGAAGCACTAGTGGACAGGTTAAAGCCACTCATAGTAGCAGTGACAGAAACTTGGTTAGTCGATGACTTAGACATTACTCCAGAATTATCCGGATACCATTGCATCAGGAGTGATAGACATAGATGTAGAAAAGGAGGCGGCGTCCTGTTATATATAACCAATAGCATAAATATCCGCTCCTCTACTAGCGAATCCCATGATAGCGGCACTTATGAAGTCATTAGCTGTATGTTGACTATAGGATGTAGTACATTTATGCTAGGTGTCATCTATCGGAGCCCAATCTGCTTAGCTGATGACTTTGTTTTAAAGCACATTCATCTTTGGAACGAAAATACCAGATGATTGATAATAGGAGACTTTAATGCACCTGACATTAGCTGAACTGAGATGACCACAGAAGGATCTATAAACTCCTTTGATAGTAGGTTACTGATAACAATAATGGAGCATGCACAAGTGAAGCATCTATCCCAACCCACACGTTTTGATGTTAACCAGGGTTCTTCTCTATTGGATTTGGTAATCACTAATGAGACTGAGTGAGCAGCGACCACGCTGTTTTGTCATACGCGTTTCGAACTGGGGACATGTTACACGATCAGGTTACACCCCGCCCAAATGTATGGAAAGCTAACATATTAGCCATTCAGGAATGCGCTGCTAAGACAGATTGGTTAGTAGATACTAGCATATCAGTTGAAGAATAATGGTCTGTATTTAAAGGTAAATTTAGACTAGTTACGTCCCCGTTCATACCATACCTGGTACCGCGAAGACCGAATAATAGTCCACCATGGATAACTAAAACGGTCACGAAACTCCTTAGAAAAAGGAAGAATCACTGGAATATGTTCATCTCTAATGGTTTAGAACAATAAAGATCCAGTTATTGTAAGATTAGGAATGTCTGTACAGCGTTAATAAGCAAGACTAGACTATCATACGAAGAACAATTGTTTAGGGATTCTAGATATAGTCCGAAACGGTTATCCTCATATATAAAAAGACGAACTAAGAGAAGCGATGGAATTCCATCACTTTTGATACGAGATAATCCGTTAATCGTAGCAGAGAATGATGCCGAAAAAGCTGAAGCTTTATCGGAATATTTTAGTTAAGTGTTTTCTATCGGTAGTGAGGAACGACCGATGATTCATCGCGACCGTGACGGCTCGCTGATGGATCCTGTAGTCATTGAGAAAGATACTGTTTTAAGGCTACTTCAGCATCTCAAACCTGATAAGTCCAGTGGTCCTGATGATATTCATTCAAAGATTATGAAAGCCATATCAGATGAAATTGCTGAACCATTAGCGATACTATTCGACATGTCTCTGAGACAGTCCAAACTGCCTAGAGACTGGAAAGACGCCATAATAAGTCCGGTGTATAAGGCTGGGGGTAGGGATTTAGTTAGTAACTATAGACCCGTTAGCTTAACTAGTGCAGTTGTAAAACTGATGGAGAAAATCATTCGGATAGCTGTTATAAACTATGTTGAAGGGCAAAATCTTTTCTCCAGGGAACAACATGGTTTTCGGAAAAACCTATTTGCTTGACAAATCTTCTCATTGCACGAGAAGTTTGGGCTGCGGCAAAGGATCGGAATGCTTCTGTGGATGTGATTTTGATAGATCTAAGTAAAGCCTTTGATAAGGTTTCCCACTCTGGTCTTAAATTCAAACTAGAACGTTTTGGAATCCATTATACAGTCGTCGATTGGATAAGTAACTTTCTCCATGACAGGAGACAAAGGGTAAGGGTTAATGGGGCTCTCTCTTCGTGGGCACCTGTAAAAGGTGGGGCTCCCCATGGTAAAATCCTAGGTCCTCTTCTCTTTTTACTTTATGTAAATGAATCGCCAACTGTAGCAAAATCATCCGTCCTACTCTTCGCTGATGATATAAAGATTTGGAAACCCATACATAGTATGTCGGATAGAATAGTATTACAGGACGATCTTAGCTCATTGGTGGCATGGTTAGACAGGTGGTCACTAGGAGTAAATCCTAATAAGAATGTAGTGATGCAGTTAAATAACTGTGATGAATCGTATGACTATACATTACGTGGATTCGTGCTACCCAAAGCAAGAAACTATAAAGATTTAGGAGTCATACTAAGCAATGATCTCAGAACGACTAGTCACTGTAAGGCTTCTGCTGCAAAAGGCTATAGGGTATTATGGTCAATTCGTAGGCCTTTCCAGTATTTAGATGATATGTTTAGATTACTATACCCGATTTATGTGCGACCAAGCAGCGTGTCCTTGTTTCATATATGAAGCAGATATGCTAGAAAGAGTCCAACGACGAGATGCTAAGATGGTACAAGGTCTATCTGGCCTATCTTATGAAGACAGACTGAGACCCCTTAACTTATTTCCGTTATCTTACCGTAGAATACGGGGTGATCTAATATTGGCCTATCGTATTTTGAGCGATGACCTTGGTATTAACATGTCTTATCTTTTGCTTCCGTCTAGAACTGATCATTTGAGAGGACATTCGAAGAAAGTTCAAAACCGAGATCAAACTGTTTACGTCTGGAGTCCCGTTTCTCGCACCGAGTAGTGAATTACTGGAATTCTCTACCGGAACACGTAATATCAGCACCGTCTGTTGATATATTCAAAACGAGATTGAACCTTCACAGTATTACAAACTGCAAGGATTAATATAGGTCGACAGACCTCCTATTCTTATTACTGAAGACTGAAGACTATAACTATCACGGCATCAATTAATGTATGCACATAGAAATTCCGGATAGTATGGTAGACCGTTTGAACAGTCAAATAGCTGTACAGATAAGAAGATACAGTATGATGATGTTTGAAGTAAAGTAAAACCCACTGGTTTCAAACTAAACAGAAAAGACTGTATTAAGAGTTATTGAACATTGTGTGTTTTACCGTACTCTTTGTTGGGGTTTCAAAGCATCTAGTCAGCTGATTGGTTTGAAGTATGGTGTTTCACTTGTTTCCGGGACCAATAATAATCTGACTAATATGCAGTTTTCTATCCTCTAAACACCTTCCGATAAAGCTTCAAAATGGGGTTCTCGCGTTGTGTGGTATTGTAGATATTCAAATGATCTAAAATGGAAAACTTTTCTAATTATTTTAATACTAATGGTTCGGTCGTGGCTAATGGAAAGGTAAGTTTATCCATATATATATCACTGCCCTTCAGACTAATTTATACCACAAAAGCGATGTGTGCATCAACGATAGTTTACCGAAAGAGTTAATCATCAGGTGAGTAGGGTTACCAACTTTCTAAATCTGAATACAGGGTTTTTTCTTACTTAGATATCACTACTCTATGCAAATGCTCTCAAGTTTGTAAAGTAAGCCGCCTTTTTTCACCAGCATTTTGATAGTTTTGGTATGAATGTGCTTTCGATGGGAGCAACTGGAAGAGTATTAATTTATTTGACTTCCAGCGATATGTGCAGGTAATTTTTATCGTCCAACTAACTCTACATAAATAGCCCAAAGTAGTTGAAAAAATCGCCCAGAGAAGTCGCGGCTTCCTCCGTGAGTTGAGGTTGAAAGGCTGCCGAAATGTTACTGACGAGGCTCTAAAGTGAGTCCGATTGATATTTTATCTTTGCCCACGAATTGTACTGCTTATATGTTAACTTCCTATGCTATTGGTTTTTGACACACTTGTATGAAGTATACTTTCAACCGGATGATTGTCTGTGCACATTATCAAATCATTAACGTTATTCTTGTAGAGAAAACTAGTTTGTTGATATTTTATTCACATCGTTCGAATACTTAGTCGTTTTCCTGTATCTGAATAACAGATAGGGTTTTTATGAACTTTTAGATAAAAGTCCGTTTTCTTGATTATCCCATCTATAATTTATATGGGGTTTGACCATTTTAATTTGTAAATACTAGGATTTCGTTATTTGAAGGGTCAGTGTCCACTAAAAAATATCCGTTGTGTCCATCGAGTCTCAAGGTATTATATTCACAATATTGATGAAAAAGTTTGGCTAGGTGTAAGGATCGGCTTTCCTTCTACCAGTTTTCGATATTTGTCGCACTCAGAATCAACACCTGATTCAGTCTATCGAAAACAGTAAAACGATCAACGTTGGACAACCTTCTTCCTCGAAATCTGGTCAAAATTACACAGTTGTTTATTTATAAGGTGAAAGAGCTATTGTACGTCATCTCTTCATTGACATTCTCCAGCACATCCTTTATCAAAATGGAGTACTTTTACATGCAGTTTTTAGTCAACTCGTAAAGTTTGTAAGCGGACAGGTGACTATTTAGTGATTGTCCTCATCTAGCATTTTAAATCCTGCTACAAAATTTCCTACTAGACTACTGTTAACTCTATTACATCAGCCATTCTTATGGCTGGTTATTGTAGTTCGACGAATGACTGGTTTCGTTTGTTCTGTTTAGTTGAAAGTTTACCCATACCTCTATTAAATCTGTCAAAAACAAAGCAAGATACTTCATGTTCATAAAGACTTTTACTGAGCACCATCTGGTGACTAACCTTCTTGTCTTCTTTTTATAGATGTTTTACTGAACTTTGTCATATGATTGAAAGTTTGGACTTATCGGGATGTCAAAACTTGACGAATGGAACTTGCGATTATTTAGGGAAAAATTGTTCTCTTCTGACTACTTTGTCCCTGGAAAGTTGCTCTCGTATAGACGATGCTGGATTAGAAATGCTAAGGTAAGTATATTAAAAATTTCCTCATTAGTCAGCAAATATTTTTTCCGTCATGCACTCATTGTTTCTGCATATAGTTTACAAAATTTCCTTTCCATGTCATGGTACCTCCTATTACACCAGGTTTTATTGCATTGAGTCATGTCAGATTAATGACCCAATAAACCTCTTACCGTTAGCTGATTATCCCATGACTTTTATTTTATTTTACTGTGTATGGTCAAGTGTCCGAAACTCCTAATGATTTCCCTTTCGTTCACTCGAATAATCATTCTTATTGTTTCTACATGGAGTTTACATCTTAGTGCACCAACCGTCATAGTAACGAAGTCGATTATTCATTCTTTGTGTCAGGTGAACATTTTTTTCTTAAATCAGTTCACTGGTGGATGAGGCAATCTCAAAAGCAATCAATATATTCATCAGTAATTGCTTTGGGTTACTGGGTATTTAATTTATCTTAAGAAAGAAAAATATATTCATTACCTAGTCGCACGAAACTAATGTTTTTGGTTTTGCACAATATTATTCGGGTTTCAGTTGACTGTAGAGGTTACACATGCTGAAACATCGCGTACCAATAATATCTGAATCTAAGTTGAAAAATGATTGCGTACGATGTGACAATTGGTCTACATTTAATGGTCCTTGAAGTATTGAAAATCTTGCTTATTTCATAATATTTACGCTTGTGATCATTCTAGTATTTTCACTATATTATTGCAGAATACGTCAGCATGAACTAATATGTACCTTTACATAATTTTCTGTTTACTTATCTCACTAAGGAATTTATATGTAATTCTGTTAAAACTATGTAGTAGTACTGGTAGCTAATTATTGTAAACCGTAATAAATTCATTTTTGTTATAACGTTGTTTAACCCTAGAATAGGGTCCACCATAAAATTATTAGGACAGGAACTGTAGGTATATACAGCTACATTAGCTATATTATATCTTTCTAGGTTTGGTACTTCTCTGGATTTGTATGTAGACGTTTCTATATCATTATCTCTCAGTTGGATATGTCACATTCTTAATAATGTTTAATTCTCTTCAAGCCACCAACACAACCTACCAGACAGATGTCCAGTTTTAGGTTTTCGCTAATTAGCTGTAAAACATTAGTATCTTCCATGTTATGATAGTTTTTGTGTTTGCTTCCATCAATGAATTCCAATTTCAAACTAAAGTCAAGGAGTGTTTCTCCGAATCATTCAACCACAGTCTCGATTTGTTTGTTGTTTTATTGACTGTGGATATCCAAATTTCCTGAAGTCATTGAAACAATTGGATATCACTTGAAATAGAATCTAGACTCCCACACCTTGATACATTTGAACAACCTAAAAATGTACAGTTTAACCTAACACATTTCATTTCAAAATAGATTATATTTGAAATTTGTTGAGATTCCGTTCTGTCTGTTTAAATCTCGGTTTTCCACACACTAGCTGGTGTTCAAATCTAACATGTTTGGATGTGTCATGGTGTAGTGTTGGAGATCGTGGGCTAACCGCTATCGCCAGAGGATGTAAAAGTTTACAAAGATTTCGTGCTATAGGTTGTCAAGAGATAACAAGTCGTGGTGTGGAACAATTAGCACGTCACTGCCATGGTTTATTGCTGTTAAACTTGAATTACTGTGGACAGGTATGTATATTTCAATCTATGTGCCATGGTTAGAATTTATTCACTGAGCCACCCCACTGATCACTAATATAATATTTAGAACTGATTATCTCTTAGTAGGTTCTCTCAGTTTGTAAGTCAAATGTTCGAACCTTGTTATTCGTAATAAAATATACACAAACAAGTAGTAGCATTGACCCTAACTCAATTACTATGACTTTTAATCTAGTTGACTTAATATGACATTTGTTACATTGGTTGATTGAAAATAGGTATTTATTGATGAATACCGATTTAGCAATCAGATTTGTATTTGCTCTTTAGAAATGTAAGTAATCTAAAAATTGCTCTCATTATAAAAGTATAGAAATAAAATTGGAAGAAATCAGGACGGCTATTCTGTAATGAAAAAATGTATTACCTGTTAGATCGTTATTCGTCTGACTATTAACTTTGGGAATCCAGTTTCTTAATAAGTAGAATCACCCATTTAACTAGTAAGCAAAACAACATAGAGTCTCCAAAGATATTGGATCACTTACAATTGATTAATCACTGGGTGATGATCAATATCATTTATGTGAGGTCCTTCTTAGTACAGATCGAATCCTAGTTGATATGTGGCCACTAGTCTAGGTGACTCGACATTGCGTGCACTATATTAAGATAAGATGGTGGATGGATTACTCTAAACGTTTCCAGCTGACAGCGGAAAACCAACACGATAGAAAGGTTAGAAGTATTTAAGCCATAAATGTTACAAATATCCAATTCTCATAAATTAATAGTAAAAACGTTTTCTGTGTAATCCTTGTGTGTATATGGAAAAATACACCATTTAAGTGCAGATTCCAATTATAGTTATAATAGTAATATAAATAATTAACTTGTCATGTACAGGTTTAGGCATTCTGTTCTTGACCACAATTTTGTCGTATGATAGCTAGTAGTACTACCTGACCGCAAACCGAACTAGGTGGGGTGGGGTTGAAGTTTATGCCTTAATGGTGCGAATCCTAATTATCTGACTACTAAACCACACATATTAATAATAGAAAAGATCATTTTCTCTATTTACTACTTGTTTGTCCACACTCCATCGAGAAGAATAGTGTTTGAATTGCTGACCACTTGCTAACTGACAGGACCAAAATTATGGGTAGACATTTAGTAACTAATAGGTGTGATATGATGGAAAGAAAAGTCAATTTTATTCTGTATAATATGCGATATTCTTGTATTCCATTGACATGAACTATGGTCAGTATGTGATTTGTTATAACTCTAAGTATTTTTCATATATGTGATTACATTCTAATTATTAATCAAAATGGGTGTACAATCAATATATGAGTATATTTTCTACTAGAGTTGTCGTCGTGTTTTGGGTTAATAAATGATCACTTATACCAGTCTTTGTATTCTTACTTTCGCGTCTTGGGAATTGTAGAGGTCCCTCGTTCAGAGTATAAGTGATAAGCGTTTCCGACATAACAATCAGTAAGGACCAGATACAAAAAGTAGCATGAAAAGAGCCAAGACGATAAGCATTCAAACGACAAGGTGCTCTATTCTAAGGATTACAGTAGTGAACAGTGGGGTATTAACAGATAACACCTAATTAATTCTTTAAAATTAACTGTTGCGTACAATAGCAAAATATTCAGAAAATCGTTTCCTCATTTTTAAGCAAGGGAGGATTATATAAAAGATGTTCATAGAAATAAAAGTTGTAATAAAATAATCTGGAAGGACAAATATTAAAACTACAAAACAGGTGAAAGTTTAATATACGATAGAGCAAGAACTCATCTCCGTTATTTTATTCGATTTGAAGCCATGTTACCCATCTCTGGCAACTGATGAGCCCAATCATTTACCCGTCCATACTCTCTAAATCAGATTAGTTCAATATTGATATCTGGAAGTAAGCAGGTGCTAATTCCATCCTAAACATTTGATTTTGACTTGCAATTCCACAAAAAATTCATGATAAAAAGTCATCAAAATATCGAGCCTCAACCTAGAATAATCATTCACACTTGTTTGTTTTGACAGATATGCCTGTCATATATTTCCTCCAATACAAAACAATATCGTTAGAATTTCCTAAATGATATAGTCAAATGTAATATTCAAACTCTATAGTATGGTTAGTGTAAGTTATCTTTAAGTCGATTAGAAATGACGCTCAACTGTATCTAGTACATTTCTCAGATGTTTTTCAGAACTGAAGCAAGAATGTTATATCTCGTTTTCCCGTCTTTGTAATGAACACTGTTTCATGTGTTAAAAGTAGGAAAGTTTCGAAAGATTCTATCTTTGTTATGATTCGCTGTGCTTGATTATTACCATTATATTTTTTTCTGTGCTTTAATATTTATATTATTGTGCTGATCAAAGTAAAAGTGGTATTTTAGGGTTCTTCAGAGCATTTAAATCGGCTACTTTATTGGTATTAGTAACATTAAAAATGCTTTATAACAGCCAGTCACACGCAACGTAGAACGTGGTACATGTGTGTATTGATTTAAGCTCCCATACACTATTATCATAGTGAGACAGAATTGTTAAGTAAATAGTAACAGTACTAGTGATGGTAGAAAAGCCTAAACACTGAAGATACGATTCGATAAAAGAAGGATCAATGTAATAAAAATAGGAAAACAATAATTGTGGGGAATCTCGAAACTTAGGATCTAAGGCAGGACAAAAGGTTAGTGCACCTCTGTCTTTACGAATGATTCTGAGCCATATCACTTAAAGTAGAAAGGGGGGAACTGGTGCTCAATATAATCGTCCTTTAGTTAGCAGATGGACATCTCATCTACTGCACGATTGACGCAAGTTGGCAAAGCCAACTAACCCACCAGAGATGATGAGACTTCTTTGATATGTGACGTGGTCAACACAATCAACTCTCAACTGCCTATTACTAGTTCTGAGGTTGATGCGAACTAGTCCTGAAGCAACATTTTATATTTAAATGGAAAGGAACAGCAGTCAGTTACTTATAAAAATTGGTATAAAGTCTATTTACTTCAGTATTTTTCAAGTCTCTGCTTTAAAATATAATTCTAGTCTTCCTTCTTCATTTTTTCACTTGTGGGAAAAATGCTTCTGTGACACAACATCAATAGTGATTTCATAGTGTAATGAAAAAGGACTACATGAGGAAAATTAACTATTCATTGTACGAGAAATCGCACATTGCCTTTGTTAAATATGGAAATCATACATTATACATCATTTGCACATCTTCCTTCAGTTGTCCTTCACATACTTCATCATCCAATCCAGTTGTTATTCCGATTTCTCTTCATTTTCCTTCCTGTTCTCTTTTCAATCTTCCGCTGTTCAACATTTCACTTCCTATTACTACTACATACTAATATCTATCCAAACAAGAAGCATACCACAATAATACAGGCTCTGCTTTGTGTCTTTTTTGCATTCGAGAACATCTCAAAATCCAAAACGAGTTTTATTGAAAGTTTCGTAATATAGATAGACTGTAACTACCAGTGAAGTTCAAAGTGCGGGTTTTGTCCTCTTTGGTACTCGTCAGTTAGATGTCCTGCATTGAACCTCGAATCTAGTACCTCTCACTTAAAAAGCTAATATATTCACCGATCTGATGAGTCTAAATGAACACTAATTAGTTTAACGGGTACGATATTAGTGCCATTATTAAAAATGGCTTGAGTTATTTCGTAGTTGATATTTAGGACTGAAATCTAATCAATCTGTTTTGGTCTTACTTTCTCAGGAATATCATATCTCGAAGATAAGTATACATTACACTAACTGTAGACTTGTAATGCCATTTATACATTTTATATGTTATCATTTTTATTTCAAATTTATGTAGGGTGTCACAGATGAAGCTATGGTTCATCTTTCCATTGGTTGTCCTGATCTACGTGTACTAGCTATATCACATTGTTCAATAACTGATCAAGGTCTTCGTGCAATTGCTGGCACATTATCGCCAGCTGCAGCAGCAGCTATCGTTGGACAAGCTACATCTACCAGTCAGCAAAATGGGATCCCTTTAATTCTTCCGGTAGTAACAAGCAATGGAAGCGTTAATAATCAAGATGCGTCATCACCAAACGGTAATATTAATAATCATGGAGATCGAGATAATAATCGACGCCAAAAAACTAATGATTCTAATAAGATAACATTGATTCCAGTTGGATGTGTTAGCTTAACAACTTTAGAAGTGGCTCGTTGTTCAGCTATCACAGATATTGGCCTATCGGCAATCGCACGTGTTTGCAATAAAGTAAGTTGTCTTCGATGTATAACTTATAATTTTTAATCAGTCATAATTGTTATGTTTTTATGTCCGGCTAGTTATGTCGTGATTTATCCACCAATCATAATACGATTTATACAATCCTAGCACTGTGCCAAACCAATGACATTCGACCGGTATGAACAGCCTAGCGTCCTTGTTGGTCCTGTGTTCACCTAGCCCGTCCACTTGAGTCCAGAACACCGATACCAGCTCCTACTATGCGAATCGAATCGAATAATTTATTTCAGACATACTGGGTTTATATATCAACCAAACAGACCGCAACGCACCATAAAATAGGAAATAACATTTGTATACAATAAAGCCAAATAAGTGACTGTGAACGTGGGAGACAGTAGTCAATAAACTGAACATAGCATACGAACAGTAAATTGTATAATAATAAATTATAGGTCAAAATGAAGCTTTTAATAAGAGGAATATAAATATACATAATCCAATTATTGAATAGTTATATCATCAGAATGTATAGATAATATTAGTCAATTAATATGTTTCAGAAGTTACTCGTGATTCAATCTTCTCTCGGATATAACAATAATCAGCATAGAGCCTGGCGTAAATATGTCCAGTCCAAGTTGTCATAACGCATCGGCACAATGAGAAGAAATTAAGATGAATAGCAAAGGAGTTAAAACAGTGCAGTAACAATATTGTTAGAAGAGTCTAAATATTGAGAATATGGAGTGAAAAAATGTATATAAAAAGATACTAGGAACCAAGATCTTGGGTAAGATAAAAAGTGAATACATCTGAGCCATTGTTATCGATTCTGAGTCATTTTTAGTTCAACATCTCCAACTATTGATCATAGTTAATGCTCGAATTCCAATCATGTAGTTAGCACTGACTAACTTGGTTTATTTCATCAGTTAATAATTTCATAAACCTACATCACATTTTGATTTAAACATCTTTAGTTTTCTTTTAAACTATTCCTACACCAGTTTATTTCATCTGTCAACGTAGACAGTGGATTAGGCTTACTTAACATATGTCTAAATTATAATTGCGTTCGAAAGAAAAGTACAACTAATATTCAATGATTACTATGTCAGTGACTAGTGTTTTATTTAGAATAAAACAATCAACTTTTATCTCTCATATACTTACCTTATACGATAGAAATGGTAATAATTAATCTAATTATTAATATTAAAAAAAGAGATATATACTACAAAGTTTAACTATAATCAAATTTATAACCTATTTTTTGGTGTTATCCGTTTGACGCCACTTCTGCCTTATTACATCCTTTCACATATGATACATTCAACACAATTTGTATTTAAAATGTGATTATTATTGTTATTATTATTTATACGAATATTCGTCAAGATTAGAACGAATAGTTTGACAGTAATTGAGCGCCGAGTATAGAGAAGTCATTATATGTGAAAATTATATTTGAAATATTCTCAGTGATTGAAATTTAACTAATTCCAACGTTTCATCCAGCTAGCTTGTCTGGACTTCTTCAGGGTAATAATCAAAATCATCAAAGAATATTATTATTATTATCATTATTATTATTTGATTGTTTTTGTTTTGAAAAGTAGTAAAGATTCATGTGCTCAGCTTTGAACCACATATTTTCTGCTTAAGGATTTAGTACTGTACTATTCTGCTGTCAAAATTGAAATAGGTACAGTGTGTTTTGAACTTATGTACAATTCATTGATTAAAAGTGAAGTAATTTATCTACCTTAACCTACAACTGTAACATTTGTGGAATAAAACATATTCAGTATATCATTAAAAATACTAAAGAGAGCAAGAGCGAAGATTGGTGCAGTTTTATCTAACTTCAATCTCATGTAGTCACTCAAAATGAACTTCATCTTAGATACATAATCCGTCGTGTTCATTAGAACAATACTTGAACCCTTATCTGACCGTAATATCATTATATGATCATTTCGCTTAATATTTCGTAATGCTGTTAGGTGATCTTTGGATAAAAGCTTAGATTGGGGTGTGGGTGAAACGAGATATTAGTTTGCGATATCAACTAGTATAGATTTAAACCAGCTTTTCTTTTCTTCACTAACTGAGTGCAATTCTTTAATTTGATCAAATAAATTCTCAAATCGAGTTTCTGTGTCGATTCTATCGACATGTATTTTTTGGATATGAAATTTAAACCCAAGCGATGAAGCTTCTGTTTCTATTTGATTTAGCTTCACTGTTGATAGGTTATAGAGAAATTTATTCGGGGTTTTCCGGAAAACCAAAGCACAAGTGTTCCTTTGACCAGTGTCTTTGAAAAATTTACATTGAAATTCTTGCATATTTTGCTTTACAGACCTTGGATAAAGTTGATAAATTTTATGCGACATACGATAATTAGATCGTTGACTAGTTCATCAAAGATATTAATTTCTGCCCTCAAACTTTCAACCAATAATTTTGTTGATTCTATGTGAGATTTTGTGATGCGTGGAAGATTTTCGAGATGTGGGAGTTTACTTGAGTATCAGTCATTGAAGTCACTAACTTCTAATCTGAGCCATGTTGGTAGATGCAGACTACTTGATTGGGGTCCGCGTGACTGTCGTAACCAATGATTGGAGACTCTGGGTGATATGGCTCAGAGTCGATCACAATGGCGTCGGTGTATGCACCCTCTGTCTTCCTTTAAGCTGGGAGAATAAAATCGCCTCATATCTTTCTATGAACTAATTCTTTCTTCCTGTACTGTGTCCTTATATGCAATCTTTCTTTTATATATTACCACTTCTGAATTACCTACTTCTATGAATCCAGTGTTCATCTTGTTGTTTTAATGAAGTGTGGCAACTTGGACTGATGCATATATGTGCCTGATCCTACGTTGTAGCTGACTGACTGACTGAAAGATTTTAAGAGTTGACGTGGGAAACGGCATGATTTGAGACATTCATCAAGAAATTTAAGTCGAGTCATTCCTCTCGATGTTCTGCAGCGTATTGTCACCAGGCGATTCAGTGACTTAAATGACTGTGCAGAGAGACGCATTTTGAGAAATTCCATACACATAGTTCCCTTTATTATCCTAATGAGAGCAAGAAAGAATATTGGTACAGTCTTCGTTCTTGTTCTCTTTGAGATAATGAATAAAACTATGTGTATGGAATGTGCTAAACTTAATCTGAAATAAATCAGCTTATTTATTATTAATTAAATTATGGATATATTCGTTTAAAACAGGATTTTGTACAGTGGTAGTGGTGTGTATGTAGGTATTGTCAGTGTTTCACAATTCTGAGAGTTAATAAACTGCTTTTCAATTAGTCTCAATCATTTGGGTCAAATTAGTCAATTTAAAGACTACGCATTACTGTATGGCAAATTTGAAGGTTTTGAGTTTAATCCTTAGAAATTTTATGGATTTGGACCTTCAAAAATAAGGGGTGTTAGATTCGAAGTAAATAATTGATTTATGGTACAAACAATTATATTAACATTTTTGTATTCCTGATCACTTCCATGTTGTGACAAAGTTTTGTGTTAATTTTCATTACTGGGATTTCCTGTGCTCGTGTTGGGGATGCTAGATCCCCAGAACTTACTTGGAAACGTCTTATTTTTGTAATTTCATTTTTAAATTTGAATGTCTTGTTTTTGAGGCCAAAAGCGCCAATTTTTACATTGAGATTTTATTTCCCACTGAAAAAGACCCTAAATGTTATTATTTTGTGACGTTTCCCAAGGCCATTTTTATGCTGTATATTTACGCTTGATTTGTGATTGTGGCTGCTTGTGGAATACACATTCTCTTATGTGAACCTGAATTTCTCCTCCCAGTTAACGGGGCTGGGAGGCATTTGTATAATTTAGCTGTCTTGTCATAGTGTTGCTGTGTCTTCGTTCCGTTCGTCGATTTAGGCGATCTCGTAATCTCTTCAAACATAGCAGCTCCGTTTAATGGGGTTTGTGTATTTTGTATACACTTGCCTCCTCTACTTGTATTTTGGTTTGAAAGTTGTATTCCTAATTGAGTCGAGTCTTCGACTTCCAAATAATGAGTAGTCACGAGTTCTAACTATGATTCAATGAAGGTCTGTACAAAATCGAATAAATAGATGATCCCTTCGTGATCATAAGGCTTCTGTTTTGACCTGGAAAGTTATTGTGTTCCCCAACTGCTTCCATTAGTAAAACTACTATTTAGTTTTAACCGATAAAATTCGACAAGTTCTACGTTGTAGCTGACTGACTGATAAGTTCTCAGAACTAAAATATAGTATCGGCAGTTCCGAGCGGCGGATTCCTATATTTATCACTATACTTTGATATCTTCATACCATTGTCACATTATTTGATATATAATATCTAATTTCAGTATTTTTAGTTACGAGTACTATTAATGCAAAAGTAATTATGTCAAAGAGATACAGCAATATTTTTTTCCGTTTCAAAATATTTAGTCAGCTATAATTTCTTACTCACCATCGCTACTACTGATGGTTGTTTGTTGTTATCTTCTTGTTTTGAACAGCTTGAAAAGTTGGATCTAGAAGACTGTGCGTTAGTGACTGATTCAACTTTAGCTCAATTAGCTGTACATTGTCCACGTTTAAATACGCTAGTATTATCACATTGTGATCAAGTGACTGATGAAGGTATTGCACGTCTAGCTGAAGGTCTTTGTGGTCCTGACCAACTGCAAACATTAGCTATGGATAATTGTCCATTATTGACAGATGCTGCTTTAGAACATCTGGGCAGTAATTGCCGTAAACTTCGACAGTTGGATTTATACGATTGTCAATTGATAACGAAACAAGGAATCAACAGTTTAGAGGTAAGACAATAAAAAGATGTTCGATCATGCTTCAGACTTCATGCTTTTTTATGTTTGGATAAAATTATTTGTGTACTTTTAATGAGAATTATATTATTTTCATAGCTTAAATCATATAATGATCTTAGCTAAACCACCATTGAAAAATTGGTGACATTAGACAGGCATTTAGTCCTAGTATGAGACTCCTTGGAAGTGCATATCTACGACTCCGTACCCCGGGATCAAACCCAGAACAGTTCAGTTTTTAACCTGAACGCTTGGCCTCTAGATCAGTTTGTGATTTGAACTTTCTACAGTCTCCACCATTCCCCCTATACTAATAATAATGCATTCAACTAGTGAATAGCTCCAAGATTCGACTCCTGGAGTTCTGGTGAAAGGCTGCGACCAGTACATTTCAACTGTGTCGAGTGTAAGACAGTCGTTCGCTTCCGAAAATGGCAGATAACTACGTGATATCATAAAAATTGATTAAAATTAGACATATACACCGTTGAATGATGACTCATTGGTCTATAAGTTGGGCGTTCGCACCTGAGACTGAAAGTTTTGGGTTCGATCCCCTACGAGGTCGTGTATGGAAACTACTATGGAGTTTCGTACCTGGATGCATTGACTATCCAGTGCTTCCATTTTTCAGTGGTGGTCTAGTTCGTTATTTAAATTATAGAAAATTATACCATTTCTGTAAATCCCTCTATACGAATTACTTTTTATGGTAATTAAAATTAGATATTTTATAATGAATATCAGAGTGCATCGAAAAGTTTTTTCCGATATTTTTCGGTTTGTGATTAAGTCAGTTTTTCAGAAAACAACTAGGTTTTTCATATTATTACATGTTTCAGTGTTACACAAGGGATTAATCAGATTAAATACTTAATTAAAATTAAAACAAGTCCGATCATACACTACTCTTAAGCTGTTATTCAGGTCAAAGTTGATTCTGTATAGAACATGCTTTCATATGTTTATAATTTGATAGATAGATAGATAGGTGTGATGTAGGTGGTGTCTCATCTAAAACAGGTCAAATGTGGATCTGGATACATTATCTAATTTGATTAAATTATCGATCGAATACTTTTTCCTATTGCTCAGAGCAGTATTTAACAACATACGACAATGATATTTTAGTTGGAAAAGGCATGTTTTTTTTAAGAAATTATAGGAAACATTTTAATACTGACTAAATGACTGTTGACTATGTGTCATGCATTGATCTTGGTGATTTGACTTTTACATTTCCAAATTCTACAGAAATAACAAGTCCTTTTTGTATTTCATGTTTTCTCTCCGGCCCGAACTATGATATCCTAAAATGTACTCTACTATAAAATCTATCAAATATTTGATAAACAACCTAATCTATAAACTTCTAAGTTGATATGGTATTTTGTCTTTTATTTGAACCAAGACATTTCGATATGTATTGGTTACTTTTTGGAAGGTTTGCTTTAACTTCTGTGCTGAACATTTGACAGTAGAATTAATTACGATCAGCATCCATATTTCCATTGATTCATAGAATCATTGCATTTTAGAACACTTTTTGATAGTATTCATTTAGAAAATAATCATATTATTATTTATTAATTAATTAATTATTAGAATGTATAAACCAGTTTTTTATAAAGTATATTTCAACATTTAATTCCATTAGTTTGGAAGTAAAATTCTTCACTATAATAAATATGTAAATAAATACAGATGTTTTAAATGAAGATAATGTCAAATTTCATCTGTTCCTGTGCAACAGATTCAATGGCGTTTTAATAAAATACTCAGCATATGATACTGGATATTGAGTTGACTTGAACAAAACTTTTCACTTATGGGCTACAATTTATGCACGAAATTCATTTATCCATACGGATAACATTTTGACAATGATAGCTAATATAAGTTCGTGATAAAGACTCTGACTGTAATTCCCAACCCTGACTCTTAACTTTGTCTCTTCATCTTAAATTCTTACACTAGTGTATAGCTATATTTTGACCTCAGTAAGCGGTTAGAATTATTCAAGTTCACTTTAGTGTTGTTCAAAGTCGTCCATAAAGTATAATCGCGCCAGCTTTTTAATTGATTTATTGTATGTCATTCAATTTCCCGAGTAAGTTATGAATGAAGCTAACGGAATTTATCTTATTGAATCTGACTTTCTGTGTCCAGGAAAAATTTGCTTATTTTGAAAGATTTTAAAATATCAGCATTATGTCCGTTGTCAAGTATATGACTAGCGATTGTATTACTTAAATATGCCTGTTGCCCCTCATTGATCAACATATGCAGCCCACCACCATTCACTATCCAACTCTGTCTTGGACAATTCTTTCCAGTTCTTATTCATCCTTTTGGTGTCTACTTCCAATTTCCGACACAGTATGTTCCTTGTTCTTTTCTGTTTCCCACCAAGATTCCAAGTTAGCACTTACCTCGTGATGCAGTTTGATGACTTCCTAAATGTGTGTCCTATCCACTTCCAACGTCTTTTCTTAATTCCCTCTTCAATTGAAGCTGATGTGTTCTCTCCCATAGTATGCTGTTGCTAATGGTATCCGACCAACAGACATAAAGTATCGTGTGTAGACAACTGTTTAAAAATACTAGTACGTTTCTGATGATAGTTGTTATCCAAGTTTCAGTTTCGTACAGTAGAACTGTTTTGACGTTCATATTGAAGATTGTGACCTTGATATTGGTTGTCAGTTGTTTTGAGTTCCATATGTTCTTCGACTGTAGGAATACTGTCCTTACTTTGCCAATCCTCGCTCTCACATCTGCATCAGAGAGATCAACCAAGTAAATGGATGTCTCCTTTTTATGTCTATTAATCTAAAACCAATCTCTTCAATTGCTTCACGTTTGATTTCAAGTCTTACGATAGGCTTTTTCCCCACCATAACGTACTACATTTCCTTCACTCTAGGTTTTCCAAACTTTATCAGAATGGGTTTTGTGGAGATTTTAGAAATTTCACAGATTGAAATCATGAGTCAGTTGAAGCTAGACCACCAATGGTGGTCAAGCTTCATGATTTCAATCTGTGAAATTTCCAAACTTTGTTATTTATGGACTTTTGCGGATAACCGTTCAACTACAGTCAAACACTTCACTTTTATTTTCTGACTATAATCTTAGACATTTAAATAGCGTTCTAACTAAAACTTTTTGTGATTTATTGAACAGAATTTATTAAAGTTCAAGTATGGACCTTTTCTTATGTCCTTTTGATAAATATATGTTTCTAACCAGCCATTTTATTGCACCTAATGATAGGATCTAGAAAATGTAATACATTATCATGTTTATATTCCATCATATAATTTAGGGGTGTGCTTTTTTAAATAGTTAGTCACTTCATAATTTTGACTATCACTTATGTTCGTCTCATTAATTCATTTTTACTCAAAATTTTGATAAAAACTTTCCAATTATTTACTAGCTAACAGTATAACCTAGTCTAATGATAATGGTTCAATACTTAAGGCATTCGATTTTCAGCCACGTTTGACTTGAAAAAATCAGATGTTATTAAAAACGTCATACATAAAGTGTAGCTCGAAGCCAACTACATCAATGTATACCTAACAAATGAATTGATTTCCGTTGTATTATAACACATTTCATATCATTTTTGTTGTTATTGTTCAACTTAGAATATGATGTTTTCCGAGAATATATATATATATTTTCGTTTTAGTGACCAAATATTCTAAATGTTGTGTGATAATTGTTGTTTTCAATTTGCACATAAGAACTGATTGTATGAGAAGTAGTCCAATCGTTCTTAATTTCAAAAGTATTCATAAGCCCGTACTATATCTTAAATATATAAATATAACAAGTACTGTAGTTGATAGTATTAAGCAAATTAATGTAAATTACTGAGTATCTACTTTAAAATATTGTAGAAAAAAAACCCCCAGTGAATTTTCAGTCATAATAGTAATTGCTTTGTTAAGAGCATTATTATCTTGATTTAAATATCAACAAACCATGAATAAAAATGAGGAAAAAACAAGATAATTTCTGTTTTCCTCCTCATAGACTTATTTCTAAACTGTTTACAACCTTAGAAAAAAAAACATGTTTTTATTAATTATCACTAATAACAATATATGGATTGTTTGTTTTTATCCAATTTACAGTCTTCATTAAATTTAATATTGACCTAGAGGTGGATTTTTCATATTTAAAAAAATCATTACTAACAGTAACCATTGTACTCATTAATGATTAATTTCGCGAAGTAATTTTTAGAATTTTAATGTAAAATCGTAACCAATGTAATTCAACCATTATCGACCCTGGACTAAACAACAGTGATATAAATGAATGATGGTTGCATAACATCGTAAATTGACTGTTGTTAAGACATATAAATCATTGGATATTAACTCAATGGTTTGAAGGTTAAACACTTGGTACAAGATATAAAGTTCGTAGATACCCAGTGTCTAGGAGTCCCATACAACTATAAAATAACTTTCTAGTAGTCTCTAATTCTCACTAGTTATCCAGCTAAAGTCATTCTATTGTACAAACCAGACAAGTTGGAAGGATTATAGACTTCGCTAAGTTGATTGATTATTTCTAAATGAGACATAAAAAGACAAGTTCTAAAAAATATAAAACTGATGTCGTAAGATACGTGATACCAATTACAAAATAGATTGATTCAAAGGGTAAATATCAAATCAAGACTGGACAAAAAAAACACACGAAGAAAGCAGTTTTAATTGACAGCTTGAAATGTGATATCACACAACTAACTATTAAAACCTGAGGTCATCATGGCAAGACAATGTTGACAATATTATATATAGTTTTGAATACATGAATTTGATTGAAATTTTTTTTACTCGTGATCTCTTCAACAAATTTAAAGTTGTTTACTTAATGATTATTTTGAAATGTCAATAATCCAGTAAGCAAAATACTGACTAGTGATTGAACTATTTGGAAACATTTCGTTTAGATTCTGTATTTCATTGAGACATATTTAGAAATGTCGACAGATATAAGTAGTATATGACACCAATCAGAAGTGGAATGCCTTGCAGCGAAAGGTTGAGAAGATCCAATTAAAGAGAACAGGAATGTAAACAGAGTAATCGTAGTAGCATCATGAATGAAGGAACGATAAAGTTTGTAAGTGACGATTGATGGAAGATGTACTAATGACGTACTTAATGAACGATTTTCGCCTTTCATGAAGACTTCCTGTAATTTTATATAAACCAATAAATCGGTTAATCAAATTATTCCAACCAGATTATATTTCTCCATTAGTCTAGATGACTCAAAATCCTTTGCACAATTTTTTGATGTGAGTTTTTGAAAGGGAAAAATCATAAAGCCCCGTAAACATAGATGATTTCAAATCACTTAGGCGAGTGTCCATATTGTAACTTGATCGGTGTTAATGGAAAAGCAGTACGGACTAGATAAACATAGAATTATTTCTGTTGAAGTTTCTCTCAGTCCTAAAAGTTAGACGCGACTGGAATAATTCAGTTGTAGTGTTTCTGAATATAATCGCTGAATTAAATCACAGCTTGGTATCAAATACCAGTTGACAAAAAACCTGAATTCAGGCCTTTCTGTCGACTGCTTTTATCACTTTGTAGTGAACGGGAACACAATTGGGGACAACCTAATAGCTGTTTAAAATCCGTCGATAATCTTGCGAAACAATGCCAACATATTTGGGATGTGTTTCTCTTTTAAATGCAAAATGTTGTTTCAGGGATTATTCCGGGTTAATACCTGTATAAGTGATAGCTAGTAAAGTGGTTAATTAATTAATCGCTTTATTCAATATAATATTTTGGTACAATACAGAATTCTCAGCACGAGGTATTTCAACAAGTTTCTTTTACAGAAAAAGAAAGAAAAAAGGTGAAAAGAAGGTCTGAAACTGTACGACTTTTCAAATTAGAGACATGTTTATGAATACAGGTTATTGACTAGGTTGACTCTAACAACCTGTTCGTCACAGAGTATATTTGCTAGGTAAGGTATTATAGAACTTTTATACGTATGCTTACGTGCATGGATTTTAATGTAATTACGTAGTTGAGTGCATTGACCATTACAATTTTCTCGAAAGTCTAATCAATTCTGGTGAAATATCAGTACGTATTCAGAAAGTGAATTTCCCTTTTACGAATTTACATCGCTTGTGACGCAGGCGAGGTGTCCTTCTGACTATCCAAAATGTATATACTGTTCATCAGTACTCTTTTGATTACTATATGGCCTTTTTAAACAGAAAACATATTTAGGTTGTAGGTTTTTGATCATTTTCACTTCCACTACTTTGGTTCTGTCTGTTTTGTTATTTTTCTTACTAATTCCGCCTCGTCAAAGTAATGATGGTATGGTAATTTGAACTAATACACATTTGTGCCTAGGTCTATTTCAGTGATGATTGATTTAGTCCATGACTTAAGCCAGTAAAATCAAGTATAATTTACTGTATTGGTTCTTCAATTGGTTAGTGGCAAGTTGCGAATACATTTGCGTATAATTTCAATCGTAATAATGAAGTGGTTTCATCTTTAATCAACTAATTATTTATATTTTTTATTCCTAATTTTATAGTTACATTATCCTCAACTTCAAATTCATGCCTATTTCGCTCCTGGTACTCCGCCTGCATTGACTTTTGCAAGACGACGTCGTTATTGTCGGTGTTGTCGCATAATATAACTTTTTATGTTAATTTCTCTATTTACCCATTCACACCTCTCTCGTTCTTTTGACCAAGTTGCCAATTTGGTTGTATTGTCTTCTAGTTTAATTCTCCCCCAATTTTATTTCGCTCAGGTTACCTAGCCATTGACAGTAATGGATAGTAGTCTGAGTAAATAAATACCCAGAAATTTTATAGTGTATTATAATATTTCCCTTGTAACCTTTAATCGTTGCTTTTTTATATTAGATCAGTGCAACTTATAAGTCATATATATATATATATATATATATATATATATATATATATATATATATATATATATATATATATATATATGCGTGTGTACAGTGCTATGTGGAAAGTTATGGTTATGCGGAAAAAATCAGTCTTTCTATCTCTTTAATCCATGTTTTCATGAAGTACTATTGTTAGGACAATGATGATGATTACTATACTGCCTAATTGTCATTTTCAATTGTAACCTTACGATTATGCATCTGTTTACCGTCCCACCCTACTTTACACAGTCATCGTTCAGTCATATGTTTATATTGAAGAATCCCGGTCATCGACCTATGTGTTTATCTTATCTCATTGTAAGTTTTGATTTTTGAACTCTCATTTAATTTCTTTCTTGGTTTTTATTTACTTGCTCCTTAAATATGGCTTTCGTTACACACACATCAGAATGCACAAAATTCCTTACAGATAAAAATAAAGATGAAATCGTACTTTTTGAATACATAACCTCAAAAGTCGTCAACGATAATAACAACGATTCTTTTTGAAACAAAATAACACATACAAGTGGGTCCGAATCTTTTCACTTTGAATTAGGATACTTAAAACACAATCAATAACATCACTTTGAATTTTTCTACATCTTTTACATCATTTACAGAATGCAGTTTTCTAAAACTTTCTGTTCATAATTATCCCAGTTAATTCAAATTTGCTTTGTCCAGTTGTTTGCCGAATCAGATAAACAATTTATATCTATCTATTTCTGTCTGTCTGTCTGTCCGCCAGAAATGTTTTTGTCTTTGTCAACGATTGTCTCAGACTTATTTTTCTTTTATCTGTGTGTAATCATAATAATGCTGCCACCTTGTTTTGTATAATGTTTATTGTCTAGTTTGTCTGTTTGTGTGCACATGTGTGTGTGTGTGAATAATACTTGGTCGAATGTTCTAAATTCAGTTCTGTGTGTTTGCATGTGCGTACGTGCGCGCGTGAGTGTGTATTTTGTTGTTGTTGAGTATTTCCTCTTTTCTACATTTTCAGACGTGTTATGTGGTGAGTTTTTGTTTATTTGTATTTTGTTTTTGGTTATTATGCACTTGAATGACGGTTTGAAAACAATAATAATAAATACATTAATTATTGATTGCTTACCATTAACCAATGGACAAATCAACACGAGAAATCAGAGGATTAAATGTTATTTGTTCTGGTGCATCCACAGTAATATCTGTTAATCTGTCTTCGTGTCTTATATACATATATATAGGTTGGATTCCAAATTACTCATTATGATCTTGTACATTTAAGAAAATTACCTTTCTTAATATCACTTTTATTATTTTAAATATGCTTCTCTTTTAAATATAAAGATAACTAATTTGTTTCTCTCGAAATGTTTTGCACAGTTATTTTGTTTTTACTAAATGTTGCATAACAGTAAGCATAATTGATTTACGTTGGCCTTTATTAGGTGATTCACTCGAATGAGATGAGGAAGTAACTTTGATGAGTGAATTACATCTGCAACTCTATAATATAAGCTGAACTGGTTTAGACACACTGAATTAATAAAGGGCGGCGTGCTTGAGCATCTGAGCCACCTGTTCCTGCCATCTAGATATTTCAACAAATTATCTATTTTTGTTTGTTCTAATATATCATTATGTTTATTAATCGCAGAACCTATTCTGCTGCGTTTCTGAAAAGTGTACAACCTTTCGTTGCCGAAGTTACAAAAAACTCAATAAGAGACAATGTACTTGCTGGCAATATACAACGAAAAGAATGTACATTATTCAGATGTTCATTTACTGAACTGCTAACATCTAACTGGCGATCACTCAATATTTATCACCAGGACCGACCAAGAAGAAAGAAACGGAAACTTGTTGAAATACCTTAAGCTGAGAATTTTGTATTGTACCAAAAATATAATATTGAATAAAGCTGATGATAATAATGTATCCTTCATGTGAAGGGTTATAAGTAGATGAATTTGGTTGTTGTGCAAAGATTTGCTTAACATATGGTCTTCCAATTTTTATGTGTACTATCACAAATCTGTCTTATAGGTCAGCCATACTTTGTACATTGTGAGGGAGTGTTTTCTCAAGAATATCGAAAAATTGTTTTTACAATATGAAAATGACTACTGTCGAGTTCTTCTTCACAGTCTTCAACTAAGATATTAACCGTCCAGAAAAGTTCCCAAAGTTCCACTTATTCGCTTATATCTAGCAATTTTCCAATAGAAATTCCTTTATTCAATTATGTGAAAAGTATTCGTCATTACGATATGATATCTGCTATACAAAAATTGACCACAAATCCATGTGCGGTTAAACCAATGACCACTCTGAATACGATGCCTTTTGATCAGTGAATTATTATTTCAATCGTATTCTTTGTGATCCAGCTCGATCTCTGTATATCGTCAATAAACTACCGTCTCAATCCTAATTTGACCGATTTTTCAGGTGTATATTAGTTTTTGTGGTATCATGCTCTGCACGCTGTCTATATCTCCTCGGTTTTATTCCATATCTATAATCAACAAGTCTACACCTAGTGATAAGTTTTCAAACTAATAACAGTCATCCATTCTGAAAATTTGCACAGAATGTACACCAGTCTACAGGCATCACCGGCTTGATACAAAATTGGCAGTCACTGGTTCAAGTTCATTCTTTCTGAAAGAGTTTATAATCTATATTTAGACGGAAATTATAAACTTAAATGAAATGATTTGAAAATAAAATACTAATGATTGTTCAAAATCCATTGTAAAAATAAATTCACTTAGTATAAAGTTGTCAATGGTGGACGAACTGACGGCATATTTTGACGTATCATATAGATGACATGTGTAACTCATTAAATGAGCTTTGCTATCGGGAAAGCTACGTAATTTCCATAAAAAGTGCATGAACCTGTCAAAATACGAGGACAAATTGTCTTTCATGATGTTCAATTTGTAATAGATATCCGGCTTAAGACAATTTGCAATCAAAACATTTTTAAGTAGTGCATGGTCTCTACACATACTGATATTCATACTATGTGTATGTGCACAACTTTATGGTCTAATATTTTCGCTCAGCATAACTATAGTCTCCTTTTTCATACTCTTGTGTAAGCCATGTGAATTCTCTTATTAAATAGTAACTGAATTCCTGCTGATCTTTAGGTATTTCACATGATTAGATAATAAATAATGATTATTGTTGCAATTTTGTTGTCTTTATTTATCGGAATATGTTCATTTTTATTGTCGTCTAGTTGATTCCTTTTTGCTTGATTAGTTCTGTCTTGTAGTGTTCACATTATTCCATGTAAATACATTATTGATAAGAATTAAACAAAAGTATACAATGGGAAAGGTTACGTTTTATTTAAAGGTATATGATGTGATAAAAGCTATAATCTCCACCAAACTTTATAGTAATGTAGATCATAAGCCCACTAGTGTCTAACCTCAAAAGATAGTTCCTGTAGGAATTCATGATCAATGGTGTTCGACCATATCAAATATGAGGCAATTATTCACCTCAGGTAATGGATTATATTTTCACAGTATCTCATATTGTTTGTATTTAGACCCGTAGAGCATGAGATTCTGTCTCCGTGGTCTAAACTCCATGCTCTGGCCGTGAGAATTCAAGGACTAGTACTCGATGATGTGGCTGCGCACATCCGTGGAGTCTCATAGTAGGACGAAGCAACTGGCTACTACTTTTGTGGTACTTGGGTTTTCTTCTACGTTCCCTAATCGATTGTTAGATAAAGTTTGCCAATAGGAATCCAAGTTACAAGTCTTTACATCAAGTATGACTTCTCGTCTGTAGACTAACGTCCTATACCGTGACCAGTGACGCGGTTCTGCTGACAGCTGTTAACCTTGAGCCGTTGCCACGTTTAGCTATTGATCTGGGGTTCGCACCCCTCAGTAAGATCCCCAGAGATATAAGTATTAATCTGATCAAATGTCTTATCGATTGCTCAACATGTAATAATGTGTTGGCCGCTCGCTGTGAAATCTAAATTCCTAGAACTTATTCCTGGTTGCATCTTGGGACCACACTTATAGAAAGTCCTGTACCGGGACAAAATGTCTATTCAGTCCTATCTTTATGTAATGATAGTCCGGCTGAGATCAATCTGTAACTATTACCAATTGCAAATCAAAAGTATTCTCCACAAAAGCACTTCTAAACAGTAACATAATCACATAGATTCAGGTCATAGAGGGGTTGGATCCGTAGAGCATTTGAATTGGGCTGACAAATATCACTGTCTAAGCATGCTTCTTTACAATTCATTATAAGGTCCGTGACCCTAACTACCCGGCTTATGCAACGGAAATGTGTCCCAACAAAAATCTCCCATTTAAGATGTTGCCAAGCGGAAACTCACATTATTAGCCAATATGAGTGTAGTTTTTGGGAATAAAACACTACACACGAAAATGCTAACAGTGCGATGCATTGGTGTTTATTCTTTGACTACGCTTTGAAATTATATAATCAGGACCTCCAAAAATAGCCTACTCTCATTTTGTCACAAACTATGAGGCTTGTACTTTTAAAGTAAATTATTGTCTTGGAGGAAATTTCCTCCATACGATGACCAGGCATCGAGTTCATTCACAAAGTGTGTGATAGATAGAAGAGACTCTTCATTTACTTTATGAATTTAAGTCCTGAAAATTGTATACAGTGGTTTGAAATTAATGTTCAGTTACTCTGTACGAATCATACACTCACTTATTTGA